AATGCGGCGCCCGTTGGTGTTGATGGGCGACATGTATCACCTGGGGGCGCCTATCGGAGATTGGGGCGGCATTAATTTCACTGAGGCGCCTATAGGCGTTGACGGGTGGTATTTATTCATCCGGGGCGCTTATCGGTGGTATAGGCCGGCATTCGCTTCACTGAGGTGCCTATGTAAATCCACTGGTGTCTGGGGCGCCTACCGGCGTCGAAAGGCGACATTCATAATTAATTTCACTGGGAGGCATAGGTATTGGTGTTGATGTGTAACATTCATTCTCCTGGGGCGCCCGGCAATGAGGGGGCGGCATTTATTCCGTTCCCCTGGGATGGGCCCCTATCGGTGTGGAGGCGTCGCCGTCGTATTAGTTTGAAATGGGGGCACCTCTGGGTGGTAATAGATGCATTCATTTCGCTGGGACACCTACCAGCGTTGATTGCCTGTATTCATTCATTTCGGGCTCCAATCGGTGTTGAAAGGCGGCATTTATTTCACTAGGGCGTCACAAACCTGCTACTCCCACCATAAACCTGATGACATTGAGCCAGGATGTCCGTTCCGAAGGGCTGACGTGATACTGATGACACCAATGAATGCAATAGTGCAGTGCAGCCCAGGCGGCATGCTGCTTACCGGCCTGCAATTCTCTGTCACCGAGTTAGTGTTATGGATTCGGCGCCTTATTCACTAGTCCACACGAAGGTATTGGAACCGTGGAACTCTTTTCGATATGCCTTTTTCGGAGAATCTTATGATATGGTGATGAGGTTGTTTCTAAACGAACATTATGAAGGTTACATTTACGCTATGGAATGTACCTAACTATTTCTCGTTACATAAAAACTGTAATTCTGAACGTGTTAACAGGTACAACACATAATCAAACGTCTATTCACTGTTTGTGTTACTACAACCGTGTATATGGTAAGGGGCGCCCAGCGGGAAGGGGCGCTTCAATATCGTTTGCACCCCTATCCTAGAATACCTTCCGCCGCCACTGGTTCAAGTATGCCACTTCCGTGTCCTATCATATAATTAGTAATTACTCGGCTAATAATTTGCAACAGTCATTTTGTTCCTGAGTAACGACCGATTTTTTTGGACTCATTGGGTCCCATTATAACCGAAATGGGCATTTGTTTTGATCTGAAAATGCTTTTCCGGTTTTCAGAGACGATTTTCGATTTTTGGCCCCGAAATTCGGTTTTTGGCCCACTGTGTCCGGTGTAATTGAGTAATCGACTCGCGGTAACTTTCATCGCCCTTCCTATGCCACAAGCTTTCGAATGCTATCCGGTTTTGCAAATTTGCGTGTAAAAATAACGTCTTAAATCTATGTTAAAGTAAGAAAATATTGAAATTTTGTAAAAAATTTGACATTTTTTTCGATTTCATTTCAAAATAGAGAAAAAAACTAAAGGCCCTATCCAAATTCTGAGCCCAGTTCCTTGAAGAGCATTCAATTTCCGTTCGGAGGGTACTATTTTAGTGCATTTTATCGGTTTACTGTGGCGTCCAGATTGAGTCACTTGAAAAACGGGCCCCCAGCCATTTCCATGACAATATGTGTTCAGTGCATGAACAATCATTCTAACAAATGGAGGTACAGATCAAGATTCTGAGCGACAGGACTGCTCAAAAGTAAGTTCCTGTGTGTGACCCGAGGTCACAAGGGGTCAACAACATGACCTCAGTTGACCCCTCGTTGATCCTATGGCGTATGATCCTATGGCGTTAACATACGTTATCAGGTTAATGCTATGTGATATGACTTAGGATATGTGTTTAGGTTAACTCAATCTGGACGCCACAGGAATCCGATAAAATGCACTAAAAAGGTACCTTCCGAACGGAAATTGAATGCTCTTCAAGGAACTGGGCTCATAATTTGGATAAGGCCTTTAGTTTTTCCTCTATTTTGAAATGAAATCGAAAAAAATGTCAAATTTTTACAAAATTTCAACATTTACTTATTTTAACATAGATTTATGACGTTATTTTTGCACGCAAATATGCAAAACCAGATATCATTCGAAAGCTTGTGGCATAGGAAAGGCGATGAAAGTTACCGCGAGTCGATTACTCAATTACATTGGACACGGTGGGCCAAAAACCGAATTTCGGGGCCAAAAATCGAAAATCGTCTCTGAAAACCGGAAAAGCATTTTCAGATCAAAACTAATGCCCATTTCGGTTATAATAGGACCCAATGAATAAGAAAAATTTGGTCGCTTTCCAGGAACATAAAATGTTTCATTTTTTGTTGCATAGTGTAATTGCATTAATGTAATATGCCATTTATGCCGCATAACTGGCACATCTGTAGTTATGCCAGCTGCTCACACATCCGGCAGCCGGTATCGTCGGTCCGCGCCTGTGACGTCGGTGACGTCACGTCTGCGGTTGGTCGTTCTCTGACGGAGCCTGCTGTCCCGGTATCTCATCCGACACTCTGCTCCGCCGAACCGGTCTGTCACTGCAGAATCACACAGAAGTCGATGGCTGCAGAATTCAGAGCATGCGGAAGCATCCGTGGAGCGATACCTTCCACCTAACTACCGTATATAAAGAATAGGCTAATCAGTGCTATTCTGCATGGACAATGACGGCTTACTTTTTTAATGGATAATTGGCATTGGCCATTGGGTAAGCCAGACTGACCCGGTCTTGTGCGACGCGCTGCCGGCCCAGCCCAGTGACGGGCTGTGGTCGTCACATGGTCTCACATTTACAAAAGTATTCAAGTGATACCTTGGTCTTTTCATCGAGGCAAAAGGCGTCATTCTTCTCATCAGAATCATTTTTATAGCCATGCTAACCGCTATGCTAACACTGTCTGTTTAATTAGCTCCCAGGAATGATAAATCCTCCAGTCCCACCTCAGCTGAGGTATCGTTTAGGGGATCGGGCTAGCCAATGTAGTAAGTACAAGGCATGTTATCACCCTCCAGGATATTCATGCAGGTGTCAGCGAGCGCTGGGTGCAGCTGCGACTGCTGTTCAGGTTTACGTTTTAGCATATGCCGAAGTATGCCTTTAGCATTAGCGCGAGCGTGCGGTAAAAGCTTTTTGGATTAAACCGCATAATGTTGAAGACAATTGGACAAAGGTTTCGGCCCATGGGCAAAACATTTTATCAGCGAACTTTTGAAGCATTTTCTGAGACGGAGGAAGGCGCTGGAAAAGAGCTTAACTGATAGAAATGGCCTGTTCCAGCGCCTCCAGAAACTTCCAGAAAGCTCCAGAAAGCTCTAGAATCCTCAAGAGAGCGTTCCAGCGCCTCCAGAAAGCTCCAGAAAGCTCTTGCCAAAGCTCCAGGAACCTCCAGTAGCCTCCAGAGAGTTGAGAGGTCCAAATTTCTCTGGAGGCTCTGGTCTACAATTATGGCGCACATGTGACAATCACGAATGTAAACAAAGGACTTTTGACTGATTCTTTTACAACTTGGATGTAAAAAAAACTACATTGCTATAATTTTGTTATTCTTTTTTAATAAAATTGAAAATAAATTTTGCGTTCCAAGAGAGGACAATCGTCATACTTTTTGTATATGTGATGCCAATCTCCAGAAATCTCCAGATTGCGTTCCAGCGCCTCCAGTGAAACCTCTGGTAGAGCCTCCAGTCAAGAATTTCTACTGGAGGCGCTGGAACAGGCCCCTAACGTGAACTTACGTGTTGCATTTGCTCGCTTTGAACTAAATATGCTAAAATAAATATCACACTTGGGCCCAAGGCCGTATAAGTTTTGGGCCGGAATGTTTCATTCAGGACCTCGGACTTTGTTGAATTTTCCGCCCTCGACCTTCGGTCTCGTGCGGAAAACTCAACAAATCCCTCGGTCCTGAATGAAACATTTTACCGGGCCCGTGTGATATTATATATTACCGAAAGAATTACAATCATAGCCGTTTTCACGATGGCCATTTGGTACACATTTGATGCAGATTATGTGCAAATTAGGTGCAGATTTGGTCAAATTAGGTTCAGTGTGTTTCTTATAAGTTATAAGTATGTATGGGTTGCACAGATACTTATATATGCATCATTTTATTCAAATTATCAGACATGGTTTTCGATGAAAACGCTGAAATAAATTCATGATGCGAAGATATTTATTGCAAAAGAGATTTGGTGCAGATTTGGTCAAATTGGATGCATTCGCCGGACAGCCCGTCGTGAAAACGGCTAATATGATCGGATAATCGCAGTCGGCGATGATCTTCCGGCAAAATTGGAGGTTGAAGACACCCGTATGCACCCGGTCACCCGTATGCATATAAAGTAGTTGAGTTCATGATTGAATTACTGGATTTATCTGATGCAGAAGGTTGCTTGTCGATCGTTCGAGCGGCTGCCGAAATAAAAGGATGTGAAAATCGTCACGGGGTCAGGTCGGGCCGTGCCGGGTCGGGCCGCTAATGCATATTTTTTTTCATTAAAATCGCAGATATGTAAACTCGCTCGCTCGTTAATTTGGCATGTCCCAACACTTAACAGTCAACATGGTACCCAACCTGGAATAAATCGTTTTAAAGTGCGTACTCAGTGCTCACATTTTGAAACGAGGTGAAATATTGTATAAAAACTGGTCTGGACATTTTTTTATCATGGGCCACGGCCAGCCATGTAAACAAAGAGCACATGGACTCTCACAGGCATATGGTTCGGTCTGGCTCTCGATTCACTACAGACAGGTGTCATGTTATTGGCGATGGAATTATGATACGACACAATCTCACATCTGTCGCACAATAAGAGCGACACTTAAAACCGGAATGCATTATCCGCAAACAATGACACACCTCATTATGGATTCGCTCCAATAATGCGCCGATGGAGTTGTGTCTGGAGGCGTTTACTTCGGTGTTCTGCGAAGGCCACTGGTCGAGGCCGTCAGATGCAAGGACGTGGGCGGGCACCTGTTCCTCCATACGGGTGGCGGAGGAGGGGGGCCGGGCGGGGGTGGGCCGGGGCGGGGCGGGGTCGTCTACACGTGTCACAGAGCTGAGGCGCGGCGCAGCGTCGGGTCGGAGCGGTGAGCCCCGGGGCACGGGAGCGGTCAGTGGCTGCCGGCGAGCGGAGCAGACACCACACAACAGCTCCGGGGCCGAGAGAGAGCGACCCGACCCGACCGAGAGCAGGGAGAGCAGAGGAGTGGTCAGAGAGGACGGTGTTAGCTGGGAACGTGTCAAAGGACGTGTTAGACATTGGTGAACCGTGAATCATAGTGAGAACCGTAAAACGTGGTGATACGTTTATTTTATTCATAAATTTATCGATACCTACCAATCTTTTTGCGAGCGTCACCATCAGGTGAATTCACTCCCGCATTTAATCCCTCGCTGCTGAGGCTGTTAGAGAGAGTGCTGAACGATTCGACCACCTGTTCAGAACGTCACCCACTCCAATCGGCACACACCAACTCCAGTCACCCGCCGGGGTGTGACTACTGACACCAGCTGAAGGTGGAAGTCCTCCATCGTCTTCCACATCACCAGAGACCGCTCCGAGCGGCCCGGGCCGCAGAGATGGCTGCGCAGGGCTCCGGTCTGCTGGGAAACCTGCACTGGGCAGATGTGGTCGTGGTGGTCCTCTATTTCGCCTTCGTGCTCTTCGTCGGACTCTGGGTAAGTCGTTATTAGTAGTTAATAATGGAGATTGAAGGTGCTAGTGTACTGTTGGACATCGGACAAGTAGTAGAACCAACAAGTGACGGATTTGCTATTTTCGCTAGTTTACATTTCACGAACTTTAATGTTACAGACTACAGTAAGCTGATTCACCAAATGTTGCCGAAGCGTCATTACTCTTTTCCTCAGGTAAATAGATCTCTAAAAAGTTAATTGTTTTCAAAACGGGCTTCGCTGAGGAAAACTAAATATTATTATAACCAAATATTTCGGCTTTATTGATCAGCCTTGTTCACTGGTTTGAAGTGCATGTTTCTCAAAAACATGACCTAAAAATTCAAATATCGTTGTTTAACTTAATCATGAAAGCTTAGAAAATTTTGTCTTGCTTTTACCATAAATACCGGGTGGCCCAGAAAAAACGTTCCCAATTTTAAATAAACATTTCTCAGAAAGTGATAAAGATACAACATTGAAACTTCCAATAGTCAATGCGACATATATTTTCAGTGAATGGTATGATTTTCATGTTATTCGGTCAATTACTTTTTAAACGGTTCGTGTTTCTAGCATGCCATGTAAAAATCACTTTTTTGCTCTGATGTTTACCAAAAATGTGAGTGAACGGGCCACTTCCATCTCGGCACCACGGCCTACAGCCATGACTGCTACTGGCAACTAGTCTCATTGGTGGTTCAGGCCACAGGGTGACACATTCCCTCTAGCCTTTTTCCTTATTCGGTCGATTTACTATTTGATCTTCTTGAAGGGAGGGCGATCAGCAGTAACCCATGCACCGTGCCACTCTGCTTCGCCTTGAAACAGGACTTGTGTTGAAACGAATGGCATCCATTAACACAACTTTGGCTTAATATTTGAATATTTGGCACATAAGTGTGACAAAAATATCTAAAAAAGCAACACACGCGCTGGTATCTTCACGTTGTTCTATTATTTTTTTCTAACATGGTACGTCTAAGCCAATCATTACTTCCGTTCAACAACGGCAAAAAAAGCAAAAACATCTTACTGGATTCAACATAAGATTGCTGGCTTGAAAATTATGGTACAGTATTACAATTTGGCATACCAATGCGCAAAGAAGTGACGCAAACTTGATGAAAATTTTGGCTCGTTATTTGCACTCGAATTTGAGATATAGGCCTCCAAAGTTCGGAACGTTTTTTTTGGGCCACCCGGTATGTTCCTTCATAACTTGAAACATACCAGATTTTATAAAAGGTTTGAGATCCGGCAGTCGACTGGCAATGGGCTGGCAATATCATTGTATTCAAAATGGTATATCCCCGTTCTAAAATCAGGTAAAATCAGCCATCTGGACAGAACGGCTTTCGTGGATGGTGTGTGGGCACCTTTGCGTAGGCATGTATGTAAGTACCTTGCATCCATTTCAAAAGTTCACTGATCAAAGCAGAGCTAGGGCCCTCACTCGCAGCCCGGTGGAAACATGGCAGTAAGGATCGGGGGTGGGGGAGGGGTGGGCCACAAGATGGGACAGTCCTTACAGTTCCGTTCTACAGTTCCGTGTAGTTGCCATGATGGAGAGAGATGCGGCCAACGCCAGGACGAAAATACTCGGTTAATGACAACAATCCAGGTAGCTTATGTTAACGACATCCGGCGACCTTAACCTCATTAGAGAGAACTTGGAAGCGGAGGGGATGCCCCGCCTCTCTCTCTCTCTCTCTCTCTCTCTCTCTCTCTCTCTCTCTCTCTCTCTCTCTCTCTCTCTCTCTCTCTCTCTCTCTCTCTCCAGGCCCGCGACTGCAGACAGAGCAGAGGCTCTCTGAGTGTGGAGAGTGACTGCACTCATCTGGCGTGACAGAACGGTCACTCCCCACTCTTTCACAGCTTGTTATCTGCGCAATTGAGCGCAAAGTCTGCGTCAGGCTGGAGCAAAGTAATGCTTATTTAGTTTTATTACGCTAGTGAGGTGGACTGTAAAGCATAGCTGGAATTGTCAGTCTCAGAACTAAGCACGCTGCGGATCAAGGGACCTGGAAATGGGACCTGGGACTGGGCTGCTGCCTGCTGGGAAACGAACCACGTTTCGAGCTCCTACCTGGATCAGTCTCTCGTCCCTCGGTACATACATTGGCGCCATTCTTACGTGGGTGGGTATGGTGGGAATGGATCCACTTACTAGTCTCCATGGTCTCCAAGAACAGGACAAGTCTCCATGGATTCGGGGGACAGGTGTGGACTCCATGGACTTGGGGGACAGGGCAGGTCTCCATGGTTTCGGGAGCTAGGACAGGACTCCATGGACCTCGAAGACAGGAGGAGAATATGTCTCTACGGCTCGAAGGACAGGACAGGTCCCAATGAACTCTGAGGACAGCCGCGGGACTGTCCTCTGACGGGGCTGCGCCCGCATCCCGGACCCCCTCTGCACATTTCCCACGCTCTCATGCCGCCAGGCATGTACGGATGGAGTGATCTGTGCGCGCTTTACCGTGGTTTACCGGTGCACATACATACTGTGGCTGAGCCGGTTTACCGTCGCGTGCGCGGCTGCTACCGGGGAGTCCCGCCCGCCGGGCGCCACACCTTCCGTCCGCTCCGGCCACCCGGTACCGTCTCAGTCTGCCGACCCACCCCTCACAGAGTCCCCGCCGGCACCTGTCGAGACGGACGGGAGTCTGAAAACCCGCCCGGACCCGGAGCTCCGCGGTCCCAGTAGCGCGTCTGCGGTCACGGAGGGGCTGACCGCGAGTGGGTGAGGAGATTGGCGGGTCTTCACCGTCAGAAGTCAGCGGGCTGAGTGCCCTGGGACTGAGTCATTGCCAGCTGTCACCGACCTTATGAGCTACTGATGGGAAAACAGACGATATCCGGCATCTCGACCAGCCGCTCCCAGCGTGGCATTCCTAGTTATTAAATTACCAATGTCACTGTCACACAGGGGATGTTTCGGCTCTCCCGCTCTCTTGACATTATTTGCTCGACTTATAACGGACATCGATAACATTCTGAAGACCTCACCATTGCGCAAAGTCGTCGGCCCTAGTGCAGCTGACGACTTTCAAGTTGGCCAAAGAAGATTTTTGTTTGCCTTTTGCAGCTTGCAACATATGTATATGTTTTGTCGGCTGTTCATTATTTAGCCCTGTCGCTTATAGGGGACGCGGTGGATGGTTATAGGGGAGGCGGTGGATGGACCCTGTCGTTTTCACTGACGGATAGCAACGAAACGTTACATCAGCACCATTATTTTAACCCGCGCCGGGCCGGGGATGTTTTAACAACCCCATGCGGTTCTTCGCAGATAGGTATCTAAAAAAAAAAACGGCGTCTAGGGCGCCGCCATTCTTAGCCCACCTGTTGATGCATTTTCTGCAAATGTTGAGAAAATTTCAGACGCAGGTCGTTTAAGGTCAGGTTAACAGGTCACGCTAAGTGATCTTACCTTAGAAAGCGAAATGGAATGCTGGCCATAGCTACACCGACTGAGCGATTGCTTTGAAAGGGAAACTCGATAAATAAGAGTAATAATAGGGTATGCCACAGATAACAGTAGTACATACATGGGAGTTTGATCTCTTTATTTACATGCTAATCGACACCAGTCCTGTCACAACGAGCCATCCAAACGTCACGATTCAAACCAACGTCACAAAACACCCCTTCAAGTGTCACTTCGCTTCGCCTGCCCTCCCAATTTCATCAGCGACCTTACTTCCCGCTTTACATCTTCTTGACCCTGCTGAGCTTTGGCCTCTTGTCGCTCCTCGATCGGGTTGCACCAGTGGCTGGGGCGTCTGCTTCCTGACTTTCGATGGACAGCACTGTCTTGAGTGTCTGTCTCACTTATCAGTTACCATGTTTCCACACTTTCCAGCAAATAGATTGAAAACCGTCGCATACATTTCTGGAAGGAGGCTCCTAAGGACGTCGTGGCAAACGACTTCCGGTCAGTTCGACATCTCGGTTTACGACTATCTTCGTCACTTCTGCGTCACTTCTTGGTTGATCGCAGACCAGCAGCTGGTTCCTGTTAGCTTCCGTCTTCGGCAGTTGCCTCCAAATCTGGCAGATCCTCATGCCGGCGCGGCCTGCGCCGGCATGGTGCACAGGGACCAGAGCAGCGGCCCGGGCACAGCAGCATTGTGCACCACAACAGTGAGGTCGATGTCTTCCTCGTCTTTCTCCAGTCGTACCTCCGGCGGCGTAGCCTGATAGATCAGCAGGCTGGCGGAGGCACCGTACTTGTTACGCCTGGTGGCCGAGCGTGCCAAGGCGCCGGAGCTGTGTCCCAGGGAGGCCTTGGCGCTGTCATCCAGGCCCTCCATTTCAGTGGATTTCGCCACCGCGGCCACTAGCTCCTGGATGACAAGAGCACCATCCTGCCGTCACTCCTGCTGTGATGGTGCCATTCGGGCGGAGGCGTCGGCGGGGCTGAAACGTGACCTCACTGACCAGTGACCCGGAGTACCGCCTCATTCTCCAGGAACTGTCGGACACTAGAGATGTTTCGGTGAGAAAAGCGAATAGGTGGCATGTGAAACATCTCCTGTTCTAATCCGTTCTAATCTTTTGTTCCTCTTGGTTCGTTGGGTTGTAGCTAGAACGGCAGGTTTTTACCGCTCATTCCCCTCCTCCATTGTTGATGTACCTATACGTATGTAAGGCTTTGCACCACAATTTTTTTCAAAAGAAAACACCACGCCTTGTACCCTCTAAATGATCAAATTAAAAGTGAAATACTTTAATTTTTTAAGCAAATGAAAGTAACCTTGGTAGCTTCGATTTCAAATGTAAAAGACAAAACGCAAAAATGACGATTTCTTGCAATATTTTTTTTTTTTTTTTTTTTTTTTTTTGAATTTTGCATCCCCGCTAGCACAAGGCTATAGCAGGGGAAGGGAAGTTACTTGCTGGCAATTAGCCAGATCTTTTGTTTTACGTTAAGTTAATTGCCGGCTATTTTATTCCGGCCCAAGAGGCAAAGCAAAGACAAACTTTACGTTAGACCG